CACAACAGTGAATGTAAAGGGATGCTTTGTGCGATGTTGCTCTTCATTCTAAGTGCCAAAATGATACTTCTAGTAGTTGCTGGGTAAATGCCTGCATCCCATGGACTTATTCCCTATGACCTGGTTGAACATGGCAGATGCAAGCAGGCATAGCAAGGTGCTTGATGTAAAGCAAAACTAAGAATTGAGAGGAGCTTTCCACACTGTGGCTACTCTTGTATACAGAATTCTGCAAAGCCACAAACAGTGGCTGATAACCTGCATCCTTCGGGCACGTGTCATCTGCTTTGGAGTGGATGTCGCCTTGTCTGGAGTAGGTTTGCTTACTGGTGTCTCTGAGGAGCTTATCGCACAAAGAAAAGGGTTCAAATAGGAAGAGGGTGAGATGTGATGGCTCTCTCTGGTTTAACAATTTAAAAAAAAAATTTTTTTTTTTCCAATTTAAGACAGTAATGGTTGATCTTTCATTTCTGAGATGTTGTTTGATGGTTTCATTGCTCCCTAAGAGCTGCTAAGCATTCCAAGTTTTGTCAGCACAATGGAGTGGATGTCTAAGAAGTCTTTTTTTTGCTACGTTTCCCCACCCTTCATGTGTGTTGGCAGAATGCTGCTGGTGTCTCCTGTAACTGTAAAAAATTAGGAACGTTTTTCATCCCAGTATCTTTGCTAGGTAATTTACAGAAACAAGACTCTTTCATGCTGTATCTCTTGCTGTTGAATCCCCATGTAACCTGTCACTACAAGCTTGGAAGGTGAGTGTTGAACACTTCAGAGGGTGTGGATAAAGGAGAAATCAGGATCTCTTAGTTATTAAAAATTATCATAATGTTGCATGGACCTACACTGGCTTTTAACTGTTTTATTGGAAAAGTCTGAATTTTTAAAAGTCTGCTTTTAGTGGTATGGGAGAGCAGAAAGGGATGCCATAGAGATTGCTTGTCTACTACCCCTGCACTACTTCTATCCCTTCCTATAAAACACTTCACTTTTTGAGAAGCTCTGTGAGTTCTGTCTTGGTGTCGAGGTTCAAGCCCAGCCGGCAACTTGGAACCACGCAGCCGCTCGCTCACTCCCCCCCTTTTCCTTCCTCCCCCCGCTCCCGGAGGGATGGGGCGAAGAATTGGGGGAATGTAACTCCCACGAGTTGAGATAACAGCTCTCCAGTAACTAAGGTATAATACAAACCACTACTGCTACCAATAATAATGATAAGGGAAATAACAAGGGGAGAGGACACAACCGCTCACCACCCGCCGACCGATACCCAGCCCGACCCGAGCAGCGATCTGGGCCCTCCGGGTAACTCCCCCCGGTTTATATACTGGGCATGACGTGCTGTGGTATGGAATAGCCCTTTGGCCAGTTTGGGTCAGGTGTCCTGTCTCTGCTTCCTTCTGGCTTCCCCTCCTCTCTGGCAAAGCATGAGACTGAGAAAGTCCTTGGTCAGAGTAAACATTACTGAGCAACAACTAAAAACATCGGTGTTATCAGCGTTGTTCCCAGGCTGAAAGTCAAAAACACAGCACTGCACCAGCTACTAAGAAGGAGAAAAAATGACTGCTGTAGCTGAACCCAGGACACTTGGTAACCTGTGCAATGCCCGAGCTGGGAGGATATGCTGAGAGTTTCTGCCTTTCGTAACGGTCTTTCTGTTTGTAGTCAGTAGCAGTTGTGTTTGGAGACAGCATCTGGGGCAGGAATAACTTTGGTGTTGGACAACCCATCTCCTACCAATTCTTGTGCTGTTTAGTCAGTTCAGCATGTTTTTGCTGAGGCCCCCTGAAGATTGTAAGTCCATTTGACTTGTGCAGATCATATCTTGTCAAGACAGACAGGTTACTCTAATGTTTCCTTTTAGAAGGTAGGTAGTTGACCTTGGCATCTTTCCTTTGCTTGCTTGCTTATGTTCTTTTAGGTGTTATTTATCCAGATATTTTTTATTTTTTCCTTTCAGTGCAAATAGACAAAGCTCAATTTTCACTCTCTTCTTCTGAGCCAGGGCAACAATGGTGATGTGGATGCTGAAGTGCAAAACCCACACATTACGCACAAAAAGAAGTGGGAAATACGAAGTGCGGGTTAAGGACAACTGCTCCATGCATTTTAAGCTCTTAATCAGTTTAATATTAAACCATGCTATATCTGCATGCTGTACAAAACTGTTTCCTATCAACTTAATTAGCGTGTGTGTATATGAGCACGATATGCAGAAATACCCCCTTCCCAGTCAACAGGGAGGACAAAACACAGCCAACAGTTGTACAAAAACCACAGGTGAGCTTTAATTCAATGCAAGGTATGTAAAGTTATGGAGGCTGTTTTTCAGCCTGAGATGAATGTCCTAAGAACTTTCTGAAAAAGTTTGAGAGCAAAAGTAGCCTCAAATAACCAGTTCCCAGCAATGTGATGCCTTAAATAGGAGTGGAGACAGCCTGATAGTAAAATTTGTTTATTTACAGTGTTATGTATTACAGGAAAATCGGTTTAAAAAGTCTGTGCTGCTTTTTCTTCAAAGTTGCAGCATTTGGAAGATGTTAAGACAGATCTGAAGAGTTTTAAACATACCTGATTCCAGCCTTCCCAGCTGGGCTGGATCTGCAAGGTGAGACCATCTTGGTTTTCCTTTCTTTTTTTTTCTATTTTTTTTTTTCCCCCCAAGCCCTTTGAGTTTTGAGTAAGGCATTTATTTATTTATTCTTTTAAAAGAGGTTTCAACAAAACAAAAGACGTGATCTGCGGGTTTGGTTGCTACAGTCAACTTCAACGCTTAGCACGCTGACGCTGTCCACCTTGATAGTCAAATGCATGCTTGGCCATCAGAAGGTTATGGACTCCATTCAGTCTAAAATCCGCATTGGGCCACATGACCATTTTGTTACCTGCCTCAGATGAATGACTGAGCTAGTTGCCTCATGTGCTAACTTGTCAGGTCTTCCAGTTCCCTCTGTCTCTACTCCTGTTTCCAGTATCTGCCTGGAGAGTTCTGAAGCTCTTCCTTTACTTAGGGCCATGTACAACACTTTCGGTCAAACCCACTAATTTCTTACAACTTTTGAACATCAACCAGAAAGATCTGCAAAGGGAAGCTTTCGGGTTGTGGTTGTTTTTTTGTTTTTTTTTTTTGTTTTTTTTTTTGTTAGTTGCTGCCTTCTTTCCTTATGGAATGTTCTGCTGGAGCAGAAAGGTTTTGTATTTTGTGTTGCAAAGGAACTGTTTGGAGACAGGTGTGATCTAATGGGACTTTTAAGCACAAATTCAAATGGAGTTCCAATCTGAGACACCCACTATGTGTAATTTTCTCCTCTTGCTTTTGTTGGACAAACCTCTCTGTTCTTCCTTGTACTGTACCACTTCCTAAGCCCCTTCCCACGCATGAGCCCTCGTGGCTGTGGTCTCTGAGGCTGCCCTGCATCCCTGTCGCTTCCTGGGGCAAACCTTCCTGCCTTTGCACCTGTGGTCTCCAAAGACCCCATGGTGACAGAACATCTAGAGGGGATAACTGACCCAGGAGGTGGAGAATTGGAAGAGCAGGGTCTGGGACAGCCTCCTCTCCATGTGAGCCCTCTGTGGCTGCTTGGTCCCTCTGTAATGGCTGCACATGTGGTTTTCTTCCCTCCTGCCTTGGGACCCCATGGGAGTGAAACGACATGGTCCCTTTACACAATTGCTTCAGTCCAAGGTTCTTACTGGGATGGGGCAACTCAGAAAGGTGTTTTTGTTAAAAGAATTTATACACATGAGACTGGAAGAGACCAGAACTACTTCATTGAGAAAAAGAGGAAAAAGGTTGTGTCCACTTTTAGTAGCGATTTTGAAAGGGGCTGAATGAGAAAACTGTGAGAGCAGATCCCCAAAATAACCTTGGGTATTCTTCATTTCTAGTCATTGAAGTTGGAGGTAAATGCAGCTACCTGAAGCAGAGAGGATGGTGACCTGCTATGTGAAACATAAGCTGTTGCAGCTGCAGACAGCAAACATCTCCTTGCTTTCCCT